CTTTGGGATGTGTCTTGTTTTTCTTACAGAAAGTGGTGTGTAGTCCACATATAGTGGTGAAGAAACCATTTCAAGCAGAGTGCTGCTTTTTGCATCCTTTCTTCCATCCTGGGAATAAATGGGGCATATTCTCATTTAAGAGCTCTAGGAAACAGCTGTCTATACAGATGAATGGGCCCCAACCACTTGTGCCGGCACAGGAATATATTGCATTATACACATGACATTTTTGTCTTTTTTCATACAGGCCTGTGGCATATTGTTCTCCTCTTGACGCATTTTGTGCTTGCTGTATTGCATACATGTGATATCCGTATCCATAGTATAATTTTTGGATTCCCTATTTGGGACATAACCATTAAGGCAATAGCCGTATTTTCATATTATAATATGTATTATGGTATACCTATGGTATAATTTTTGGATACACCTCCGTTGGGAAGTGTTCACCTATGTGTCTGTGTCTCAGGGACAATAGACTCCTGTAGTCATTCTCTCTGTTGCACATGCATTTAGACCGGTCTTGGTGTTATTTTAATGGTTTTAGGTCTGTGTGTATTGTCTCATACTGAGGTGATGGTAAACCAGGGCGACTGCCCATATGTCATATTTATAAGTGTAATAAAAAGCATAAATTTTGGGAAATTTTTTCTGAGTGTCACATTCTGTTCATAATGTAGCCGCTTTTCTGTGAATTCCTTTTCACAAACCCTCCTTTTCATATGCCTTTTTGGCTACTGAATGGAGACCAAATATTGGGTGATACGATAATTTAATTTTATAACCTCTCTATAATTATCTTTAGCCTGTATACAATATAGCCCTCACCCCCACACTCTGTACCCTGGGCTGTATATGCATACTCCGGATCACCACACTCTGTACACTGGGCTGTATATGCATACTCCTGGCACCTGCACTCTTTATGCTTTATTGTACGACATGAGCGTGTTGTTCAGTAGTCAGTATGTTATTGAAGATCGGCCGTGTGGAGAGAAAAGAATGTGATGGAAGAGTCCCATTTTTACCAACCATTGTGCTGAGGTTTGTGTGTGACTGTTCGGCTCTCGCTTGTGGCTCCGTGATTAAAGCATGTTTTGCGCATACAAGGAATGTATTATCATGCACACAGTGAGTAGACTAAGGTTTTTAGCCCCTTCAACTGCAATTGGCTCTGGGTGCCCAATATTGAACTCCCCCCCAGGAAAAGAAAACCCAATACGACCCAGTACTGTACTGCCTGGAGCACATTGGTGGATCCCTTGGATTTGACGACAAAGCTTTGAGGCCAAAAATTTGCTTCACGATTGGATATGATTTTGATCCTTCCTCATCTCATTCCTATGTAGATCTATGGTGTTGCCCGCCCGGTATCAGCAAACACAGTCATGGTGCAAATTGCAAACACCAAATTACAAAACCTTCCCAAACCTACCTACAATGGTGGAATCATTTGTCTCGAAGACCAGCAGTACCCTAAATTCTGGAGAAGAATAAGTGCACTCTTAAGCATTGTCCCTGGAATGTACAACCCCCCACCATGGTTCCAAGGTTTCACCATCCCACCAGCAAACCCAGCACCGGCATGGTGTATGCTGCTGAGTAGAGGAGAAGGAGACCAGAGAGTGTCTATGCGCTGATCACCCCTAGTTAGACTGAACCCAGAAGCAGTACATATTGTGTCACTTCCAGGGTTAGCACTATTATTCCTGGCCACTGTGGCTGGAGAAGCTGCAACTGGAGCGCTATCTGATCTCCATTATCTTCAGTGGAAGGCAGGAGAGACCACAATCTGATCTCCATTATCTTCAGTGGAGGGCAGGAGAGACCACAATTTAATATCCATAATCTTCAGTGGAGAGACCACAATCTGATCTCCAATATCTTCAGCGGAGGGCAGGAGAGACCACAATCTGATCTCCATTATCTTCAATGGAGGGCAGGAGAGATCACAATCTGATCTCCATTATCTTCAGTGGAGAGACCACAATCTGATCTCCAATATCTTCAGCGGAGGGCAGGAGAGAACACAAGCTGATCTCCATTATCTTCAGCGGAGGGCAGAAGAGACCACAATCTGATCTCCATAATATTCAGTGGAGAAACCACAATCTGATATCCATAATCTTCAGTGGAGAGACCACAATCTGATCTCCATTATCTTCAGCGGAGGGCAGGAGAGACCACAATCTGATCTCCATAATCTTCAGTGGAGAGACCACAATCTGATCTCCATAATCTTCAGTGGAGAGACCACAAACTGATCTCCATTATCTTCAGCGGAGGGCAGGGAGAGACCACAATCTGATCTCCATAATCTTCAGTGGAGAGACCACAATCTGATCTCCATAATCTTCAGTGGAGAGACCACAATCTGATCTCCATAATCTTCATGGAGACCACAATCTGATCTCCATTATCTTCAGCGGAGGGCAGAAGAGACCACAATCTGATATCCATAATATTCAGTGGAGAAACCACAATCTGATATCCATAATCTTCAGTGGAGAGACCACAATCTGATCTCCATTATCTTCAGCGGAGGGCAGGAGAGACCACAATCTGATCTCCATAATCTTCAGTGGAGAGACCACAATCTGATCTCCATTATCTTCAGTGGAGGGCAGGAGAGACCACAATCTGATCTCCATAATCTTCAGTGGAGAGACCACAATCTGATCTCCATTATCTTCAGCGGAGGGCAAGAGAGACCACAATCTGATCTCCATTATCTTCAATGGAGGGCAGGAGAGATCACAATCTGATCTCCATTATCTTCAGTGGAATCTGATCTCCATAATCGTCAGTGGAGGGCAGGAGAGACCACAATCTGATCTCCAATATCTTCAGTGGAGAGATCACAATCTGATCTCCATTATCTTCAGCGGAGGGCAGGAGAGATCACAATCTGATCTCCATTATCTTCAGTGGAATCTGATCTCCATAATCGTCAGTGGAGGGCAGAAGAGACCACAATCTGATCTATATAATCTTCAATGGAGGGCAGGAGAGACCAAAATCTGATCTCCATAATCTTTAGTGGAGGGCAGGAGACCACAATCTGATCTCCAATATCTTCAGTGGAGACACCACAATCTGATCTCCATTATCTTCAGTGGAGGGCATGAGAGACCACAATCTGATCTCTCCATTATCTTCAGTGGAGAGACCACAATCTGATCTCCATTATCTTCAGTGGAGACACCACAATCTGATCTCCAATATCTTCAGCGGAGGGCAGGAGAGACCACAATCTGATTTCCAATAACTTCAGCGGAGGGCAGAAGAGACCACAATCTGATCTCCAATATCTTCAATGGAGGGCAGGAGAGACCACAATCTGATCTCCATAATCTTCAGTGGGAGAGACCACAATCTGATCTCCATTATCTTCAGCGGAGGGCAAGAGAGACCACAATCTGATCTCCATTATCTTCAATGGAGGGCAGGAGAGATCACAATCTGATCTCCATTATCTTCAGTGGAATCTGATCTCCATAATCGTCAGTGGAGGGCAGGAGAGACCACAATCTGATCTCCAATATCTTCAGTGGAGAGATCACAATCTGATCTCCATTATCTTCAGTGGAGGGCAGAAGAGACCACAATCTGATCTATATAATCTTCAATGGAGGGCAGGAGAGACCAAAATCTGATCTCCATAATCTTTAGTGGAGGGCAGGAGACCACAATCTGATCTCCAATATCTTCAGTGGAGACACCACAATCTGATCTCCATTATCTTCAGTGGAGGGCATGAGAGACCACAATCTGATCTCCATTATCTTCAGTGGAGAGACCACAATCTGATCTCCATTATCTTCAGTGGAGACACCACAATCTGATCTCCAATATCTTCAGCGGAGGGCAGGAGAGACCACAATCTGATTTCCAATATCTTCAGCGGAGGGCAGAAGAGACCACAATCTGATCTCCAATATCTTCAATGGAGGGCAGGAGAGACCACAATCTGATCTCCATAATCTTCAGTGTAGAGACCACAATCTGATCTCCAATATCTTCAGCGGAGGGCAGAAGAGACCACAATATGATCTATATAATCTTCAATGGAGGGCAGGAGAGACCAAAATCTGATCTCCATAATCGTTAGTGGAGGGCAGGAGACCACAATCTGATCTCCAATATCTTCAGTTGGGGGCAGGAGACATGAGGGGGGGGGGGGGGGGGTCTAACAGACCCCTGATGTCTGAACCACTTGAAAACCAAGCCTTTTTTGACACCTTTTAATTACATGTAAAAATCAATAATTTTTGCTACAAAAATTACATAAAACCACCAAACATGATTTATAGTTTAAAGCAGAGGCCCTGGAGAATAAAATGAGGGGTGTTACAATTTTTTCTGTCCCATGGTATTTGCGCAACAGTTTTTAAAAAAACAAAACAAAACACTTTTTGAAGTTTAGTGCACAAAAACACAATTAAATACCCAATGGTTTGGTAAAACATAAATGTTGTTAAGCCGAGTAAATAGATACCAAACATGTCACTCTTTAAGAAGGAGGAGCCAGTTCAAAGTCGAGGTCAGGTACTGGGCGTGAACGAGAGCAAGCGGTAGTCAGGAGGATAGCCGGGATCATACACAGAAGAGCAGAGTAAGTCCGTTAAAGAAGCCAAAATCCATTTTGTACCAATCCAGGCCGCAAGCATGCACGGTCACGCATCAGTGCGCATTCGTATGCGTCCACGCACATCTATTGTGCGCCAATGCGCATATCTGCAGCCATGTCAGGTACTGGCAGGAATTTCAGGTCTTCATGAGCCTCTGCTACCACATGAAGAGCTGTGATGTCCAAAATTCATATAGAAGACATTTCCCGCACTCAAGGCACTAATACACCTCGAGGGTTGTGTGGGACCCCTGATGTAAAGGAAGACAGGACAGGACTACATTTCCCTCACTCAGGACAGGAAAGTGGCTTCTCCCCCATGTGAGATCTCTGATGTCTGTAAAGATGGGAATTCCGTGCAAAACATTTCCCGCACTCAGGACAGGGATACGGCTTCTCCCCCGTGTGAGATCTCTGATGTCTATGAAGATTGGAGTTTTGTGAAAAACATTTCCCGCACTCAGGGCAGGAATATGGCTTTTCCCCTGTGTGAGACCTCTGATGTTTGACAAGTTCTGATTTTTGTACAAAACATTTCCTACACTCAGGACAGGAATATGGTTTTTCCGCCACGTGATACCTCTTGTGTCTGCGAAGATCGGACTTTGTTAAAAAAGCTTTCCCGCACTCAGGGCAGGAATGCATTTTCTCCCCCGTGTGAGAGCTTTTATGCACAAGAAGACTGGATTTATAATCGAAACGCTTCCCGCACTCAGGACAGGAGAACCTCTTATATGTTTTAAAGATGGCAGCGTCCCGCACAGTCTGAGGTTCCTCAGGGTACGAGGAATCCGATGGTCCATCTACACTGGGTGGTGCCGGATGGACATTGGAGGGAACCGGGTTTTCTCCTGGACTATACTGTGTGATGTCCTCATCTTCTACTTTCCAGTCTGGAGACAAAGTGAAACAATCCTCGGAGGTTTTCCTCATCTCCCGGCCATGGACTAAAATACAAAGAAAATGAGGATTACTAGACAGGAGCCCCACCAGGGGTCAGAGAGTGAGGATGGGGGGAGGACAACCAAGAGGAAGACTGGACTCATCCTGAAGAGTGAAGACACATGCCCCAAGTGCCTAGGTGAAGAAACACGTCTATAATTAAATTCAACATTTTGCTTCCAGCTGAACCCCAGAATCTCCATAAATCCAGTCTAGAGACATAAATTGTGTCTGCAGCACAGAGAAATAAGATTATCCGAGAGGAATCCAGGAATACAGGACGGGGAACACAGCTCAAGAAAGTATTACAGGCTGATATCACCCCGCCCTACTCTGGACCAGTCATTGAGCAGTATGGGTGGAGGAATGGATTTAGTGTTCATGACCCACCTGTGCTGATCTCTGTAGGAGTGTCCTCATCTATAAATGTCCCCGTTATTCCATCCTCCTCCATAGACTGCTGATCATCCCTCACATACCACTCTTCTTCTTCTTCTTCTGATTTAACCTCAACTTTTATATCTATCAGATCTTCACCCTAAACCAAGAGAAGGAGAGAAAATATCATCTGTAAATTATTCATTATTAGCTCACATAAAAAATTCCACACATTGTCTCCATAAGTCCATGTTCCAGATGTTCCATTCCACCAACCTTGTAATCTTTCTGTGTGGAATCCCAGGAATACAGAGAACGGGGACATCTCTCTGGTGGGTTCCTGATATTAGGTGGCTCCATCATGTCCTTGTTTCCTTCTGAAAACTCCTCCATCACTCCATACTCCTCATCCTCCTCTGTATACTCTTCTTTGACAACAATATTATAATCCCCGAGGTTTCCATTCTGTATATATAATAAGACATTCATTGAAACATACAAGCTTGTGTATAAATCATAATTATGAGCGACTTTCCTAGGTCATTTCATGTTCCTGACCCTCAGCTCCACCTACCTGATGATGGTGAGGGATGGTGGGACCTTCCTGTGTGGAATCACGGGAATACAGAGGACAGGGACATCTCTCTGGTGGGCTCCCATGACTGGATCCATCTACCTGATGATGGTGGGGGATGGTGGGGACCTTCCTTTGTGGAATCCCGGGAATACAGAGGACGGGGACATCTCTCTGGTGGGTTCCCATGACTGGATCCATCTACCTGATGATGGTGGGGGATGGTGGGACCTTCCTTTGTGGAATCCCGGGAATACAGAGGACGGGGACATCTCTCTGGTGGGTTCCCATGACTGGATCCATCTACCTGACGATGGTGAGGGATGGTGTGACCTTCCTGTGTGGAATCCCAGGAATACAGAGGACAGGGACATCTCTCTGGTGGGTTTCCATGACTGGATCCATCTGTAGGAAACACACACAATGACTGAATCCATTGTTTCTATGTGTTTATCAGATGATGGGGGATCTAGGTGGATCCTCCGTACTGCTCTCTCCTTTCCAATAAATTCTCCTCTTACCCGGTGATGTGAGGGGCGGCTGATTGTCCATCATGACGTCCTTGTAGAGGTCCTTGTGTCCTTCTAAATACTCCCACTCCTCCATTGAGAAATAGACAGTGACACCCTGACACCTTATAGGAACCTGACACACACAATGATACAGTCACCATCCAGACACATCCCTTGTCTGTTACTGGAGAATGTCCCAGAATTCCTGGCACTGCTCACCTCTCCTGTCAGCAGCTCCATCATCTTCTTGGTGACTTCTAGAATCTTCTGCATGTTGTGTCTCTCAGGGTTTAAGGAGTCACATGGAGGCACTGTGATGGTCATATGATCACCTGACTTCAGAAGAGGAAATCTCTGTATTGGGGAACCAATAGGAATATCATGTTAGACTCCCAGAATCCTCCTCACCTCTCCGGTCAGGTCTGTGTTTTATTAATAGAGATGAGAGTGATGTCATGTGACCTCCCAGAATCCTCCTCACCTCTCTAGTCAGGTCTGTGTTTTAATAATAGAGATGAGAGTGATGTCATGTGACCTCCCAGAATCCTCCTCACCTCTCTGGTCAGGTCTTTGTGCTGTCATGTGACCTCCCAGAATTCTCCTCACCTCTTCGGTCAGGTCTGTGTTTTATTAATAGAGATGAGAGTGATGTCATGTGACCTCCCAGAATCCTCCTCACCTCTCCAGTCAGGTCTGTGTTTTATTAATAGAGATGAGAGTGATGTCATGTGACCTCCCAGAATCCTCCTCACCTCTCCGGTCAGGTCTGTGTTTTATTAATAGAGATAAGAGTGATGTCATGTGACCTCCCAGAATCCTCCTCACCTCTCCGGTCAGCAGGTAGATGATCTCCAAGGTGAGGTTTAGTATCCTCTCAGTCATGTGACTCCGGTCCTCCTCCATCCTCATTGGTCATGTGATCTATACAGGTTTCCTGTAGACCAATAATTGATAACAGAGAATGATCTGGACTGTACTGGTTGTACAATATTAGGATGGGAGGGGAAGGGGGATAATATGAGGGACATTCAGTTTACTGTTTCCTGTGTATTTGGGGTCCATGAGCCTTTTACCCCTTGACGTTTATGTCTAAACAAAAACCCTATTCTCCACAATGAGGAGTATGTTCCGGCCCCAGAAGTGGGGGAATGTTCTGCCCCTGAAGGGGTTAATCTGGGTTCCCACACTATATGTGTGTATCATCATCTACTGTAGAGAAAAGACATCACAGTGACTATGGAGGAAGAGAACGGACATGACGGTGGAGGAAGAGGATGGACGTGATGGTGGAGAAAGAGGACAGGTGTGGTGGTGGAGGAAGAGGACGGACGCGACGATGGAGGAAGAGGATGGACGCGACGGTGGAGGAAGAGGATGGACGCGACGGTGGAGGAAGAGGATGGACATGACGGTGGAGGAAGAGGATGGACATGACGGAAGAGGACGGGCGTGACAGTGGAGGAAGAGGACGGGCATGACGGTGGAGGGAGAGGACAGACATGACAGGGATTTACTAGGTGTAGATATAAAATCAGATCTTATTACCTCCTCTGCTGCCACTTCCAACAATGTCTCTCTCTACTTCCTCCCGACTCACCTCTCACTGGGAACATCCTATTTATACCTGACATCACTTCCTGTCTGTACCTGACATCACTTCCTGTCTTCCATAGAGACTTCCTGTCTGGGTAGAAGTGAGATCACCATCTTGTGGAGCTCCGAGGAACTGCAGACACGAGAACCGTCTGGTAGTGTGACCCCGGCCTTGTGCTGGGTGTGTATGGACTGTATGTCCTCACAGAGGGGTCACTTCCACTCCCACCTGGGAAACATGGCAACTTACTACTTAAGTTGATTGTTATGGGTCCAGCAACCAATGGCATCCCAACAACGGATCACCTATTCCCACCCAGCCCATTCAGTTTTCAACTGGGGATTCCTGGCTGACAGATGAATATAAACACAATAAAAAAAAGTTGCTTGGAGTCCCCCCAAAAAAAAATTCATACTAGACCAGTGGTTTTTAACCTGGGTTCGATCGAACCCCAGGGGTTCGGTGAGTCAGTCTCGCGGGTGCAGTAAATATTCATTATTATGTTTTTGTTTTTGTGTGAAAATCATGTTTAATGGTTTTGTTCTTTGTTCTTAATTGTTTTGTTCATTTTGTGCACCTATGTATAAATATATACCTAAATATATACCTATGTTTTGAATTTTAAAAATCATATTTTATTTTTCCAATTAAGAAGGGTTCGGTGAATGCGCATATGAAACTGGTGGGGTTCAGTACCTCTAACAAGGTTAAGAACCACTGTACTAGACCCTTCAGGCCTGATATGGATTTTAAGAAGGAACTCTTTGCAAAAATAATAAAAAAAAAAACAAGAAAAGAAAGTGTGGGATGCCCCGAAATCCATATCTGAGCATGCAGCCTTGCTTTCCAGGAAAAGGTGGGGGTGGGAGTGAGCATGATCCCTAATGAACCATATCAGGCTATGTACCCTCAATATACGGAAAGTATCATGCCAAATTCCTTCATTCCTGGTTGGAAAGTTGAGGAAGTCCAATGTATGAGCTTGTATTGGGGAACATGAGGAATCTGTACAACATATGGCATCGGAAAATGTCGATCTGTCTGCAGAAAACGGAGTTCCAGATGATGGGGGAGGTTCTAGAGAAGTCTTCAAGACAAGCATGGGAGGAGGTAACAAGGAAGCTAGAGAGCAGGATGTCTTGGGAGGAGTGGAGAGGATGATTTGAGCGATATCTGTGGATGAGGTTGGTGATGTAGCTAAGGAGCTGATGTTGTGGATGGCATTGTACGTTGTGGTTAGTATTTAGAATTTTTACGTTGGGTTAGAGGAAGCCAGTAAGGGGATTGGCGGAGAGGGGCAGCAGTCGCTGAGGAGAAGGTAGTCAACTCTGTCAAAGGCAGCAGAAAGGTCTAAGAGTACATGTATGGAGTAATGAGCATTGGTTTTATCAGTTCGTGGGTCATTAGTCATTTTTCATAGGACAGTTTCATTGGAATATTGTGGGAGAAGCCAGACTGTAGGAGATCAAGGTGGTTGTTGACAGTGAGGTTGCAACTCATATGGTTGTGGTCAAGGCGTCCAGGAAGCCTGGAGGTGC